GTAATGAAATTTCAAGTTACATATTAGTATTATAGATAATTAAATACATTTATGGAATATCTATTATCATATCGTCATCATCATTATTGTTGTTATTTACATGAACGCATAAATAAGATTGTAATGAAACTGTTACAGTTTCTGATGAAATTAGAAATTATGATTAGGAACAAGTAAGTCATATGTTTATAATCTTCTTTTGATTAATATTAATCGATTTATTAATGATAATAGAAAACTAATCGTATTTTGTAGACGTACAGGATGATATAAAAACATAAATATTTACTGCATTGTGAACATCTTACGAATGAATTTTTGCAGACACAACTTTTCTAATATCTGGCAGAAAACAGATTTGATTGACATTATGGAAATAGCTTCTTTCAGGAATCAATTTTAATGAGAAATTTTTCATTCTAAAATGAAATTCATTCTAAAATTCATTCGTAATACAGTAAATATTTATGTTTTTATGATTTATATCATCCCGTACATCTACAATGTAAATATTTATGCAATATGTTTTTTTTGTTTATATCATATGATTTATATCATTTATATCCCGTACAATGTATGTCTACAAAATATGATTAGTTTTCTATGGTGTTCAGCAAAATCTGACTAGATTTCAATTCAAGAATAATTTCAAGATATTCCAGGTAAAAATTTTGATTTTCCTTTATTTCATCGATTAATTTTCATTATTTAATTAATTTTTATCATTTGCACAATATTATATTGTATTTAAGTTAGGATTTTATACGAATTAAAATGTTAACAAATTTGGAACGATATTATTTATTGCTTTGTAAATAATATCAAACGAATATTCCAGCAACACAAACAATTTTTCTATTGTTCAATTTTAGATATTAAATTTAAGTTTCTCATTTTCTATAATTTATATTATTACATCTTTAAAAAAGGAGACTCAAACACAACTTTTCTTCTTCTTATTTTTTTCTTTTTTCACGCTCTATTTTTTTTTTGGAATGAAGAATTAATAAATTCCAGGCAAGCTCCAAAATTTCAGGTTTTTTCTATAAAATCTTTCCAAAATATTCTATGTAAAAAAATTAAAGGATCACCTATTCCGTCCTCAAAAATAGGTAAGATGTCGATTCATTATCATTTCTCTCTGGGATAGCTCCGTAAAAAATCAATCTGATCGAAATATCAATTACCAATCTTGAAAATAAATATTTCAAACTTTAAAATGTTTTTTTAAAAATCTCGTTATAATTCTTGACGAAGTTATATTCTTTTGAATATTTACCTATTTTTGAGGACGGACAAAATGATCCTTTAATTTTTCTGCGTAATTGTATATAAAGTATATATTTCAGTATAATTCCAAGGACATTCAAGGACTGCTGAATATCATGTTTTTCTATAGCTTTTCAGCTTTGAAAGATTCTATGTGTTTACATATTTCCGTCACCAGCGATAATCTACAATATAAATACATATGCGAAACACAAAAAAAAATTATTTTTTTTGAATTTAGTATTACTCTCATTTAAATTTAAAACATTATTATTGATGTTTTACCTATTCAGTGTGAATAAATGAAAACCATATGTTGCTCCATTTCTAATCACGTCCGTAATTATCTGCGCTATCAAGTCGACTGAATATTTCCTCACCGCTTGATCGTCATCTTTCATTCGTGCTAACTCTTCTTTAATTTTGATCGGCACATCGAGCCTGCATTTGTCTATCATTTTTTCTAGACACGCATGATTTGTCGGGATGAGAATCCCAGGTAGAATCGGAATTTGGATCCCGATTTCTCGACAATCCCTCACGAAATTTATTAGGACTCGAGAATCGAAACATATTTGCGTTATGATAAAATCCGCACCTGCTTCTACCTATAAGTATTTAAAAACTGAAATTCTTGCTCGCTGAGCAATTTCCGAGCAAGAGATTACTAGGAATGTAATTTAAATTGACTAGAAATTAATTAAATAAAATTAATTTAAATTAATTAATTTAAATTAAATAAAATTTAATTTAAATTAATAATAAGACTTATAATACATGACGCATTTTTTCCTTGATTGCTTGCACTTAGTAAATTACTAGAAGTTCTGTATTAATTGTGTGATGTAATTCTAGTTTCATTAAATGAGCAATCCAGGAAAAAAGTATCATCTTAAGCCTGATTACATCAACGTTATTTTAACTTTAAGCGAAGCTTAAAACTCTCTCTATCTCGTCCTCTCTTTTAGTCTTAAAAAGAGAAAATGAGAGTTTTAAACCTCACTTATAAACTCAAAGTAACATTGATGCAATCAAGTGGCCGTAACAATACAATGTTGCTGCTTTTGTGTTGAATGCGTCTCTTGCTCAATAAATTAGAGATATAAGATATAACTCGCACAACTACGTTGTCGATTACTTTCGCTTTCAGGTAATGTAAGTCAAGCTCCTTAGACGGCGATTCGGGATGCATTTGCGGATAACCCGCAACGCACACGCAGAATGTATCGCCAAATCGCTGTCTGATAAAAACTACCAGATCCGCTGCATGTTCGAAGTCACCATTCTCGGATAACGAATCTGCAATTCGGCTAAATGTGTACTTTCCCGACAATCCAGAACATAAAATATCAGAAAAAAACACGTTTTTTGAAATATATCATTGTCTAAAAGATACCTAAGGTCAGCCACATTCATTCAAGTACACTTGTCTATTTAATAAAGTTGTCAAGTTAACTTGCACAACTTTATTAGTAAATTTTAATTTACTACTAATTTACTATAAATTTAAATTTAATTTAATTTAATTGCAGTAAAGCTATGGTACATATTTAATGCATGATGCATTTTTTCCTTGGATGACTTACACAAGCATGTATACTTGACAACATGACAAATTTATATGAACCTATGTGGCCGGCTTAAAAACATTACAAAAAATCTAAACAATGCATTGGAATAAAACCTAATTTAATTTTCAATATGTTTTTTGCTTTCTGTGTCTTACTTTTGTCTTCATGTTTTTTTCTTCTTTGCGACATTTTATCAACAATCGCATTTCTTTTGATGTATTTCTTGTCTTTTTCAAAGTTGATTATCACTTTCGTCAGAAATAAGAAAATAAAGGTAAAAAATAAGAAACAAAGAGAACATTATAGGACATTATCGATCTGTCCAAGTTTTAAACACTCGGACAGATCGATAAAACTCGAGCCACTCGAGGACCGGTTTTATTGCGAATTCTCCCGGATCTGATATAATCGCAGGCATGCAAATCAATCGTTTAACATAATGACATTACGAAATACACTAATGCGATTGTATCTCGAGCTTGCCAAAATATATCTCAACAATTAAATTAAAAATATATTTTTTAATTTCTATTTAGATCTTTTTATTTTTTGGGGATTCGAATTATGCCGCTATAAAAAATTTAATACAAATTTAATACAAATTAAAAAAAAGTATTTCGATCAAATTCCAATCAATCTTTAATCGAATTAATTAAACTGTTTTAAAATTTTTAAATAATTTGTAATTTTATAATTTAATTTTTTTCCATTAAAAATTATTAAGTTTATCCACGTTAATAAAACATTAGAGATATATTTGTAATTATAAATACAAATATAAAAATACAAATATAAAACACGATTAAGAAAATCGGAAATTTGGCGGAAGAGTTAAATTACCTCCTCGTAATGCAAATATATTAATTATCCCGAAAGCAAGAGCTTTTTTCAGGATATAAATGACCTCGTCACGCTTTAGACCTTTAGCTGCTAAATGTAAAAGAGTATTGGCCGGAAAATTCTCTGCCAGATCCAATGGCAGATAACCATCGTTGTTGGAAGTTGCTTCATTATGCCACGTTAATGCATAAAAGAGAGGCGAATACTCTTCCATATCTATGAGAAACCTATAATATTCGTATTCATTTATACATTATAAATATTTATGTATATATAAATATATATTTTTAATATGTATTATGAATTTTAATGCTCGATACTCGTGTTCTTGAGCAGCACATAATTTAAATATTAATATTAATTATTTTAAGAAAATTTAGGATTACGCACAGTTATAACCTCAATAAATACCACCACGAATCCATACCAAAAGTTTTGAGAAAAATTTGTTCTTAATGTTCTAATTCTAAGACTCAGTGTGTCATACTAGTGCTCGATCTAATTCTACCTGATGTCTTTTAGTTATACAGACCTTCGGTAAAACACACCGGATTTCCTCGTGGAAACAATTTCAAAGCTATAAAATATCTCGTTTTTACTGATTTTATCATTTAACAATTGTCGTAGATTCACTATCGTTTTATGAGGATTCTCGATATGAAAATCGGATATGGAAGGATTGTCGTTTCCGTCAGCATCATTCCGCTCACATATGTCGTTTTCAAGAATTAAGTTTCTCATTATAAATCAGATCATCGCGTAAATCTAATGTTAATACTTTCATTCCATGGACTATACTAATAAGCATCGAATTATGTAATGTACAACGTGGCGCATCTCTTACAGTGATGTACACAATATTATATAATATACTTGTATAAAATATATATACACAATAAAAAAAAAATATATATATATGTATCATTAATTATGTATGACAGATTTTTATGTTATAAGAAAAACAATGTCGATTAATCTTCAATGCTAATAGATCTCAATGTTGTATATAATTTAATGTATTATAGAGAATAGAATAAGTCGTTTATTTTGGAAATGGTCCCATAATACAAGTTTCGAAAAATTATGGATTTTAATTACAATATAAATTTATATTTATAATATTTATTATTTGGCTTCTTAAAAAATTTTTTAAATAAAGTGCTTTTACATCCTAATAAAAAATTTTTTATGCATGAATATGTCTAAACATACACAAACATGCATAATATATTCATAAACATGTATAATTATATATGAAATATGTCCGTACATGTTTATACATATTTATACATATTCTTGCATGAAAAATTTTTTACCGGGACTATGCTTAGAGATTTGTCATTCATTTGTTAGATTCGCATAACACGCGTTTCTTAATTATTATTTCTAACTGTACATCCACCTCAATGTAAAAAAAATAAATTATAATTACTGATAAAGATTTTTATAGATTATTTTTTTCTCAAATATAATCTCCTACAGACTTCTGTGATCGGTATGTCGGATACAGTTGGTATTCCTCCTGGAGTAGTTTCGACATTTTGTAGGGCATACTTGTCCGTAATAGTTCGGATGTCATCGATGTCCGGAGTTATCAACATATTGATAGCAGGATAAATTAAAAATGCAAATGTGGTTAGAGCGGTCAATGCCCATATAGGAATCGCAATTGCCCAATACTTGGAGGGCCAATAAGTCAGGCCTAAATAATCATGCAGCACCTTGTCCGGTATTATCGCCCATATCATGTACAACAGGAATAACATATTCGATCCGATGTACATGGCATATCCATAGACAGCCCTGGGACCGTAAGGCGCAGGAGTGTGCTCCATAACGCATGTATATTTGAAACTAACAGATAAATATAATTGGCTAATTGTTGGCTCCGTAATGACTATATGTCAGTTCAGGTGGACCAAATTTTTCGATGGTTTCTGTAACTAGTAGTAGATTATCAAAGAAAGATGTAAGTGCCACACGTACTTTCTTTGCTTCCTTACCACTGAATGACCTGTACAGAAAATGATAAATGTTAAAATAACATTTACAAATATTTAATGCAATTTTAAGCTTACACTTCTAAAATATTATTATTTAATGTAAGCTTCTTTGTGGCATCACTACGCGGTGGTTCCTCATCGACCCGAAGTACTTGATATACAATTTCTGCTTCTCTGGTGCTTGGAAAAGACACAGACAATTCTCTGTATAATGTTAAGGTTTTAAAAATAGTAAATTGGATAGTAAATATTATTATAAACAAATCATTTGTAAAATAAGGATACACTTTAAGGTCACTCATGGCATTGTATAGTGATACAAATTGTCCAAATTGTGAAATTTCTGTCACGCTATTCTGTAATCATAAAATATAGTAATGTGAGTATATAATATAAATAAATATTATACACCTATATTCATGTACATACAAAATTTTAGTTTTTTAAATTTCTAATGAAAATTTGTTTCGGAATTTTTATACAAATTAGAATTTTAGAATAATATTGGAATAACTTTTTTCAAAAATATTCTAAAATTTCTAAGATTGTTTATTCTATAATTACTGAAAAAATACTTTCTTCAGATTTCTTCAGTTTTTATCAGATTTATAAGATTTATTAGAAATTATAGAATGAGAAATTTTAGAATATTTAATTCATATGTATATAAAATTCTAAAAAAAATATAGACTTTATAAGCATTTCTGAAAAGTATTTCAATTTGTATAAAAAAATTTGAGCAACTTCCTAAAAAATTATAAAATTACTCAGAAAATTTTGAAAAATTACATGAAAAATTAGAAAAAAATTTTCAGAGAATATTTGACATAACCTCAAATCGATCGTGACTCACATCAATGGAGTCAAATGGAGTCGCACAACGCAATCGTGCGATATGTTTAACTTAATGTGACACAACGTTGTTCAAGAATCATGTAACAATTATTGTATTTAAAAACGTTGCAATTAGCATCGACGCGATAGACATTCCCTCAACACATCTATGCAGGAGTGCGTCCATGGGCGTTGCTGACGTACAATAGTCATCTCGTTTAGTATAAACATTGCATTTCGAAGAAAAAGGAGGGAGAAGAAAGACAATAGGTAGGACTGCATTTACCAAGAATTTTTATCTGCTTCCAGAATCACTCTCAAATGTAGGTAATATTCAGTCGCTTGGTAATCACCACTCTTTAAACTTTTTACAGATCTCTTTGTTCTATTTCTAGGTTATATTGACAGCTGCATTTATTTACCACTGTCATAAGTATCATTGTTAAAATTTAGTTTAGGCCTTGTTTGATACTTTATCTTGGACATTTGTGAACAAATGATCAGTATTATGCAAAACATCGTGGAAATAATACCATACTTGAATAACTTATCCAGAAATCACAAGAGATCTCTATGTGTTTGTCTATTTAGCTAATTAATATTTTATTGTGAAATCTAAATATTATTTAATTAAATTCAGTTGCATTTTACTTACTACGTCAATTACGATAAGACGAAAAGATTATTTTATCTTGCTTCTGCACAAAAAGAATCCTATAATCAGAGTACAAAATACACTATTAAATACTACAAAAAAGTATTAATATGAATGGACCGACGAGAGATCTACCATGGGGTTTGCAATGTGCAAGATGTATGTGCAACGGTTGCTGCGAGCATCGTCGTATCAATTGGACAGCATGGCACCAAGGAGGCATATTGGCGCTTACTTATCTAGCATATACTTGTTATCATTTGACTCGGAAACCGATATCTGTAGTGAAGAATGTTTTAAGTCTCAATTGCAGCAATCTACCAGTACCTGCGGATATTTTTGTAAATGTTAGTAACCGAGATACCTGGTGTGATTGGGCTCCATTTGGTAAGGAGAAATATTGGATAATAGAAAAATATATACATTTAAATATATATATTTATTATATATTACTTAAATATATATATTTAAATATTAGATGTGAAAAAAAGTTCGTGGCGTTTTTTTAATGCCATCTAACGGGAAAAACGCCATGAATTTTATCCCACACCTAATATTAATTACTTGTTTGAAGTATTTTAAAAATTCATGTATTCGCAAATTTATCATAAGTTTATCACGAGCATCAAATTTATTCAAAATATGTTTTGAAGCCTAATAAATTAAATATTTACTTCAATCAAGATTATATTAAAATTCAATTTGCTTTCTGTATAAAATCGCTTTTTCGATAAAATTTTGTAATGTTTTTAAAAAAAAAGATTGTTGTTTTAAATATATGAGTTTTCTATAACATTTGTAAAAAAATATATTTTGAGACTATTATCTATCAAAAATATTTTTTTATTAAAGATTATTGTTATTTATAAGAGAAAAATTATATATATATATTTATTTATAAGAGAAAAAAGTAAACGGTAATTATTTTTCTTAGCATATTTTTCTGTATGGAGGAAATAAATACTCGAATATGCAAATAATTTGTGCTACATTATTTTTACAGATACGGAAGATGCACCAGCATTACTTGGCATGCTGGATTCAGCATTTCTGTTTGCATATGCAGTGGCTATGTTTTTCAGGTGGATATCTTGAAATGAGTTTATTACACGGCACAAGGGAATTTTATCAATAATATTAATCTTTTCTTTTCACACAGTGGGTTCATAGCGGAGAGAGTAAATCTGCGATACTTCCTTTCCATTGGTATGCTTGCTTCAGGCATATCATGTTACCTGTTTGGAATCGCTAAACCATACAATATTCACAATCTATGGTACTTTATTTTCGTGCAGGTAAATATCAATAACACATTAAGTGTTTTCTATTTGATGATACAAATTGATCCAAATATTGTACTCTCTTTGTTACTCGCGAAATGCTAAGAAAAATAGAACAACTTGCATCGACTTGTGTTGTTATTAAATGGAAAGCACCTATTATAAAGCATATTAATAAAGATATTTTTCCCTTTTTTTTGTACATAGGCACTAGGCGGAATCTTTCAAACTTCTGGATGGCCAGGCGTAGTAACTGTTGTGGGAAATTGGTTTGGAAAAGGCAAGCGTGGCTTGATCTTTGGAGTATGGAATTCTCATACATCCTTAGGAAATATATTAGGTAGTTTAATCGCGGCGGCATACGTCGAGTCCGATTGGAGTTTGAGTTTCATTGTGCCTGGAGTGGTAATGGGACTGATGGGATTTGTGATCTTCCTGTTCCTAATACCAAATCCTATCGACTTAGGATATAGCTCGCCCGCTTCCCTCGGATATCGAAAAATTGTAACGAATAGTTCGGACGATGACTCGTTTGACGGAGGTTACGAATCTCATAGTGTCAACGAGGATGTAAGTTTGTCATAATTACTAAATATTTGTTGACGCTTTTTCACTCAGCAAATATTAGTCTATTATCATAATAGATGTTTTTTTAATTTTAATAAGTGTAAAATTTGTAGTGTAATACATTTTCCTATTAACACGTAATAGCATGTTTGTAATTTGATTATAAGCATGTTCTCTATACTTTACTATAATTACAATTTTATATAAAGTTCTTTTAGTTTTCCTAGGTTTTTTTTTAATAATGCAAGTATCAAGATTAATTATTTTTAGTAGAATTATAGTTTGCACTTCCATAATAAATAAGCGTCTACTCTACCTAGCGTGTCATCTATCGCTGTGTCTACCGTGAACAACTTACTACCGACGTAAGTGCATGCCTACAGTTAACACTGCTATTTAGCTTTAAAATGTAACATAAATCACGTAATGCATGTGTTATATATATGATGCATAAATTTATTCGTAATTTTTAAACCACGTGAGGATATGTATTTTGAACAACAATGTGTCACTATAACATTTATTAATATTACAACTGCTTTCATCATGCTCTAACATATATAAATACTATTAGTAGTAATATGTAATTTATATGTTTCAAAGAATGTTGCAAATGAGCGCTCTGAAACTAGCCCAATGCTATCTGGACACCGACGTGATCATAATACATCTCACAATAGCGCGATCGACTTCATAGGAGCCATAAAGATACCAGGTGTTATCGAATATTCCTTGTCGCTATTTTTCGCAAAGCTTGTTAGCTATACATTCCTCTACTGGTTACCATTGTACATCGCAGCTACAAGTAGGTATTCACAATAATAATCTTATTGTTACTGTCTCATTAATCTCGTTTTAGTCTCAATAAGAATTTCTTGCAGCTACATATAACGCAACTCTGAGTGCGGATCTGTCGACTCTGTTTGATGTGGGCGGTATAATAGGTGCTATAGCAGCTGGAATCATCTCTGATTACAGTGGCATGAGCGCGTTAACATGCGCCGCAATGTTTGGACTTGCATTTCCCGCGGTGAATACAATTTTTTTCTTAATACATTGAATTTTGCCACATAGTAGACTGAATTTTGTTACAAAAATGACAAAATTATTAGATTAATTATTAATGAGCTGTAAAAAAATAATTGCTTATATAAATTACTATAAATTCATTAAATAATGAAGCACATTGCTTTAAAGAATGTTCTTATTTCTGAATTCTATGCAATATCATAAATGCAGATTTGAATGTATACATCATTTGTATATTTTAACATATGTGCCTTATATATTTCAGTTATTTATGTACGACTCTATCGGAAATACTAGTCTAGGCGTCAATATAGTATTACTGCTGATAGGAGGGCTTTTAGTGAATGGTCCCTATGCATTAATAACGACTGCTGTGTCGGCCGAACTGGGAACTCATCCTAGTTTAGGAGAAAATTCAAAAGCTTTAGCTACAGTGACTGCCATTATCGATGGAACTGGTAGTATTGGGGCTGCAATTGGTCCGCTATTAGCAGGTTTAGTGTCTCAGTGGGGCGGATGGCACAATGTGTTTTATATGCTTATGTGTGCGGATTTATTCGCTCTACTGGTGAGTTTGCTTGTGAGTTTCAGTTGATTCTAAAACGAAATATTACAAATAATGTGCATATCATGTTTCGCTGTTTCAGCTTCTGTCCAGATTAGTTTACAGAGATATAAGATTGTATGTGCAAAGACGAAGAATTATTCAAATGTAGAACGTGAAATAAAATTCGCTAATTATTGCGTATAAATGCGGAGAGGTATGTCAGTTTTTATATATTTGAATCTGTGTATTTATAATTTATAGTCTTGTATCTCCTTAAGGGATGCAAGAGAGAGATTTAAATATATGGAAATCTATTTTGGACAATACTTTTTCATAACTGCTACACGCATCTAAATGTAATTTTAAACAGAGAAAAGCTAATAGCGCGCTGCTACTTTTCGAAATTGATATTTTTTATTAATGTATACAAAATGTAAAAAAGAATGTTATTTTTTTATTGTATGCTACATATCAGATGTTACCATATGAACTTACATGACATAAATATATTACAAAGTTTAATATACAATTGTTGAATGCACATATTTCTGCAATAAATTATTGCGTATCGCTGGAGTATCAAACTCAAGGAATACCAGTGGGAATTATATAGCTGATAGAATCGGCGAATTCACCCCAAGCAGCTCTTTGGGTTTGGAAGATTATTATCCAAGCTAGTAAAGCAGCTGTCCAAATAACTGCTCCGATAGCAGAGAAAATCACATCTGAAAGAAACGTAAATGCGTATCATTAGAGAGGAGAGGCTAAAATTCGTTGTAGGAAATAAATTGATTGATACAAACATCTCTTAATCTGTTTTTGTTCCTCGTAAGGTGGTGCTATGAAAGCTTCTTTTGAGAACCAAACCGCATTCACGGCCCATAGGAATGGCAGCAGTGCAAAACCAGCTGTAACAGAGAGAAATTGAAGAAAATATTGGCAAGTTGTTGTAAAATGTGACTTTTGGCTGTGCACTGCGTTATTTTTTTTCTCTCTATACTTAAATTATATATACATATTTAGATTTTAGAAGAAAGATTTTGGAGAGAAGAAACAACTATCCCAAAAAATCAAGAACACAGCTAAAGAAGTTAACAACATAAGAATTATATTTTGACACTAAGAATCATGTACTGCTGCAAATTCATAGCTATATTCATAGCTTTAATCCTAATTTTAGTTCTCAATCAATATTTAACTTAAGGATGAAGCATCTATAGATATTGCTAATCCATACATGTGTTAAGATCTGAATTGTAATGTTGAAATATGAAGTAATGCTGGTTCGAATTTTAAAACATGATTGGACAGTAAGGCTGTATTCGAGAAGCGTGCTATCAGCGCTATTTGTGCCATCTATTTTTATTTTAACATTTAGTAAACAATGAAGATAGAATGACACAAATAGCACTAATGTCTCCCCGAATATATCCTAAGTGTGTTCAGAATTAGGTGATAAGGGGTATCTTTCAATAAAGCCCATTCGGTTAACTCTTAATCGAAGTTCAACTTATTTCTCATCTCTTTCCAGTTATAGAATCGGAAAGAGACAATAAATAAGTTGAACTTCAATTAAAAGTTAATTGTGAGTTGTGGAACTGGGCCTAATGCTCATTTCCATCAATGTAGATTAACTTTAATCTCAATTCTTTTTTAATTTTTTTTAATTTTTAGAATTAAAAAAGATGAAGAATAATTTGAATCAAGATTAAATTTAATCTACATTGGTGGAAACGAGCATAAGAGATACATAGTGTAACAGATGAATCATTACATTCTTGTTTGTTGATATTAAACAAAGATGAAATGATCACTTGTTACATTGTCTCTTCCTGGAAAACATACAAAATTGTCTCTTTAAGACAATTGTAAAGTGTTTTATGTCCCAATTTTGTCATGTATGTTGTCAAATTTGTGCCAACTATCCCATTCTACGATACTCCATAAATCATCAAGCGCGAAATATCAATATTAGGACCTTTTAGCTTCGCGATGTCAACGTACCGCGAAAATACCATTTGCAGAGATGCAATTTCTTCTCGTTCGGTATTTTTGACAGGTCCATCGTAGCCATCGACACCAGACGGCTCTTAACCTATTCTCCTTTTTGAGTGTCGCTTAGAGACACCTCGTTTCCTCGATTAAACAATGTAAATAATAATGAAAAAATTGAGTCGATCGGTGGAACAATCTCGGAATCGCGCTGGCGAGAACTAAACGTGAGTAAAATGTGACAATAAGAATAAATGGAAAGAAAGAAAAACGTCTGGTCGCGCTCCCAAGATGGCGCCGCGACGAGCAACGGAGGCGCGCGCGCTCGAGGCTCCTCCTGGTGGCGGGCAGCGTCACGTGAGCGGTGCGGTCACGTGACCACAGACGCTCGAGTCCCCGCCGAGGCTCCGCTGTCGCCAGGCCAGCCGGCCATTTTGGTACGTTAACATGGCGTCGCCGCCGGAGATTAATATGGCGTCCTCGGACATAATAACCGAAGTGGAGATCCAACCGGACATCCAGGAGGTCGAGATAGAGGCGATACCGGTGGAGATACCGTGCGAGACCGTGGAAACGACGATCGAGGGCGAGGACGGGCAGCCGATGATAGCGCTGCAGCCATTGCCGGAGCCGGGCCGAGAAGAAATCATACTGCAGACGCAAGAGGAGATCGTTGGCGCCGATCCGCTTAGCGTATACGACCAGATTCCCGTGCCGGATAACGACATTTATGTCGAATCCAGCCCTGGGCCGTCGCGTAAAGCTGCTAAGAAGGCGCGTAAGAGCGGTGGCACGCGTTTCCGTGCCTCCGACCACGCGATTTTTGGCGAGATGGCCACTGAGACCAAGGCTAGAAAGTGGGAACAGAAGCAGGTGCAGATCAAGACGCTCGAGGGCGAGTTTTCGGTAACGATGTGGGCGTCCGGCACGGACGACGGTGAGTCTTTTTACACATTTTCGGTCTTCCTCTGGACTTCTCCATTCGTACTTCCGTTCTTTCATTCTCATTCATTTTTCTCTCTCTTTTTCCGTTCTTTTTATCCATCGCTCTCCCTTCGCCGAATTCTCGAGCTAAAAAGGAGTTTCTTTATTTCTTTCTCTTCTCCTTCGTCTCTCCCCTCGGTCCTCCTGGCCCCTTCGTTATCCACCACGCACACGGGCGGATACGCACTTCCGGTGCGATGCTCAGATCGATACTGCGTCGCTACACGGGCGCGCGATTCCCATGTAGAAAAATCGGCTACCTGGCTCGGTCACGTCGGCCGCGCGCTTCAGCCGGCTTGACAGGCCGCGTTGTTTGTTTTGATCCCGCGAACGCCATTATGCTTGGCCCCACGGGGGCAGCCATATTTTGAAAATGGCCTCTTTAACGCGGCGGATGGCCCGCCTGTCCACCGTTAAGCAAATGGCGGCGGCGGACGAGCCGAGCGACGTCGCGGAGCATCGCGGCACTTGATGTCCTATCGGCGTCGATACATTCAAATTTTGTCTCTTTGAGAGAGATAAAAATAAATAGTAATATGTAGAGCGAGTTCTAGCCGAGATTTTCATTGGAGAAAAAAAATGTGGATCTCAAGACGCACAAAAGAAGTTGCGAGTAACGCTCCTCTGACGTCACGAGAGATCCATGTTGCATCGCGAGCGCATATATCGGGTATCCTGAACTCGAACACGGGCGATTATTTCGTTGATTTGCACCTTCCTTGTTTTTTTATATATTTTAAATCTGTTTTTTACTTGCACTCTCGGAACTGAGTGCACTAAATTCAGAAAATGTAGAAATAAAAGACAGATCTTTTATTGCATATTTAAGAATGTATTATAAATATTTTTAAAATAATGGAAAAGCTATTTAAAAAATTACAGATTATTTTAGGTCATACAAAAGTAATAAAAAAGATTTGAGTTTACCATCTGACTCAAAGTTTATTTTAGTAAGATTTTTTAAATCTATGTTCTATGTATCTTTTTAACAGAAATATATGGAAATGTATTATAAAATAACGATAAAAACCTTAATTTATTATGCAAATACTTTAAATATTTCAGATGATATAAAGTTATATTGCAATGTAAAGATTAGTTGGTCTATAAATAAATAAAATATTTCTTTTAAATCTTTGTAATCAATCTGTGAATGATAATGAAGCTTTATATAAATCGTTTTGACTTAAAATATTTATAGAAAAAATTAAAATTTTTATCAATTTTTCAATTTTAACTTATAACAAAATAATAATGTAAATAAACAATAAAATTATATTTAAAAAATAGATTATTGTATATACAACTTTCATATATAGTTTCTTTAAAGTATAAATATTAATGCATTTGTAAAAATAAACATAATACATCTTTAAAGATAAATTGTATTTTGCAAAAATTTTTCAATACAAACTTTAATATTATTGTAATTTCTTCGGAAACAATCTTGTGATCTTAGATATTGAAGACGCGATATAACAAGATCCTATTTCTTTCGATATGCATTTTTTTACTTTTTTTTATCCTATATATCCCATTTTTCCTGAATAAAATACATTTTTTTTAAGCTTTCAACGAGAAAGGTGTAATGTTAAAATATATTCATGATTTTAAATTTAAAAAATTCGATGTTTCTATTTCTGGCAGAAATCAGAAATAATTAATTAACATTGCAAAGTAATTTTAATTACCTTGTTTATGCACTGAAAAAAAATGACATCATTATATTAACAGCATTATTTTAATTGAAAATAATCTTATTGACTCAATAACAGTATTAATATAACAAATACAATTTTATTAAAACAAAAGTGATTTTCCTTAATAGTGAGATTGAATTAACAAAATTATTTGCAATTAAAATAATGCTGTTGATATAATGTCATTCTTCTTCTCAGTATAGAATTGTAAGAAATTACATTAAGGTAGCCTCATCTTTTCACCCTAATTTAATTGCTATATATTGCTAATTTTATTAGAAATTATATCTCGTTGCAGTTTTATTATAAATTTATTCCTCAATCATATTTCCTTTAACAATCCTATACTGATTAATAATAATTTCTGTTCCCTTTGTTACCAAATATAAAAAATATATAAAATATAAAGT